TGTCTCCTGCTGGGGAAGAAAATTTCTGTTTCTTGTACCAAGAGGGGATGACTGAGGTTCCCCAAATTCCTCAGCTCTAAAAGCAAATCAGGATAAAATCAGGGGAAAAGTTTACTCAGCCACTGAACTCCTGACCTATCTGACAGTACAGCAACATCCTGCAGGGGTCGAGCCAGTGGAAGGAGTATGGAAAAGCCTTCTGGCACTACATGTGAAGTATTAAATGGCAAGTGTCTGTGCAAGAGGGGGTACAGTAAGAGGAAATGGAAGTGTTGCAGAGCAATTAGAATGAAAGTTTAAAAATGTAAGGATTTTCTCCAGATTTGTCTGGATGATGTCTCCCATGCTTGCATACTTAATAAAGCTAAAGATACAGAAGGACTTTAGTATTTTATTTTATTTTTATTTTTAGTAGTGCTGGGATGCTGCAAAAATCTTTAAACTCTACTAAATTTGTCAGGTGGCAACATAACAGGTCCTCTGACCTTGAGGGTCCAGAGTGGCTATAACACAACATGGTGATGGGACTCCTGCAGGTTCATTTCTCCTTGGAGTTGCATAAGGGTGCTGATGGGAATATGTCGGAGACTTGGGAAGACCCTTAAAGGTGTGTGAACAACATCTTCTTAGATTGATACCTGTGAACTGGGCAGAGGTTCAAGGGGAACTAAGACAGAGAACCCTTGCCCACCTGAGCCAAATATGGGCACAGATAGGAGGGTTCAGGGAAGGCTGGTTGTCCTGTCTGTGAAACTGGATGCAAAGAGGACATTGTAAATAAATCACAATTCAGGCTATTACTTGGTCAGAAGAGCTCTCTGTCATCCACTGCTAATGCAAATGTCAGAACAGTGTGTTCAGTGCTAAAGGGATTACACAACCCAAATAAGTAACAGCAAATTCCTCCTTTTCTAAATGCCCTTATCTTTTTGCCAAAGGGTGATGGAAAGAAGAGCAGGAAAAATGGTCAGTTATTCTCTTGCAGTTGGGAGAATATGCAAGATAGGCCATACTGTCTTATCCTTCTCTGAAGAGGATGCATGACACCATGAACGAGCTATCCAGGTATCCATTTATATGTGTGTGTACTCAAGATGAGAAAAAGATTATCTGATTTGTCTTCCTAAAACTCATACTGTGTTTGAACATTTGTATTCATTGATGGCCAATACAGAATGTTTTGTTGATTTTTAGGAGGAATACTATTTCTGATTGCAAAGATATGGACATAAAAAACCCAATGCTCTATGACATTTAAAAATGTGGTAATTTCTATCACATTAAAGGAGGTTGTAGTGAGGTGGGGATTGGTCTATTCTCCCATGTGTCTGGCAAAAGAATGAGGGGGAATGGGCTAAAGTTGCTCCGGGGAGGTTTAGGTTGAATATTAGGAAAAACTTATTTACCGGCTTATTTGTCGGCTGAATATGAGCCAGCAGTGTGCTCAGGTGGCCAAGAAGGCCAACGGCATCCTGGCTTGTATCAGAAACACTGTGACCAGCAGGGCTAGGGAGGTGATCGTCCCCCTGTACTCGGCTCTGGTGAGGCCGCACCTCGAGTACTGTGTTCAGTTTTGGGCCCCTCGCTACAAGAAGGACATCGAGGTGCTTGAGCGGGTCCAAAGAAGGGCGACGAAGCTGGTGAGGGGCCTGGAGAGCAAGTCCTATGAGGAGCGGCTGAAGGAGCTGGGCTTGTTCAGCCTAGAGAAGAGGAGGCTCAGGGGTGACCTTATTGCTCTGTATAAGTACATTAAAGGAGGCTGTAGAGAGGTGGGGGTTGGCCTGTTCTCCCATGTGCCTGGTGACAGGACGAGGGGGAATGGGCTAAAGTTACGCCAGGGGAGTTTTAGGTTAGATGTTAGGAAGAATTTCTTTACTGAAAGGGTTGTGAGGCACTGGAACGGGCTGCCCAGGGAGGTGGTGGAGTCACCATCCCTGGAAGTCTTCAAAAGACGTTTAGATGTAGAGCTTAGGGATATGGTTTAGTGGGGACTGTTAGTGTTAGGTTAGAGGTTGGACTCGATGATCTTGAGGTCTCTTCCAACCTAGAAATTCTGTGACCAAAAGGGTTGTGAGGCATTGGAATGGGCTGCCCGGGGAAGTGGTTGAGTCACCATCTCTAGAGGTCTTTAAAAGATGTTTAGATGTAAAGCTTGGTGATATGGTTTAGTGGAGGACTGGTTAGTGTTAGGTCAGAGGTTGGACTAGGTGATCTTGGAGGTCTCTTCCAACCTAGATGATTCTCTGATTCTGTAAAAGCACACACACACACACACACACACACAAAGGTATTTCCTTAGGCTGGCAAATAAATGTCTGCCAGATTCAGAAATGATCTCAGTTTTTTAAACTGTAGCTCTGAAAGTATTGTATAATTATTTCTATCTTGATTTGTTTCCAGAAAGACTGCCAAATCACCACACTGCACAATTTCAATTTCCAATTCTGTGTAGAAATGAATATTTCAGTTGCTATTTAAAAGCATTGCTATAGAAGAGCGATTAGAAAGCTGCTGAAAGTGTCTTGGTAACATCTTTTCTCTTCCTTAGTTTTCAAGGATTATGAACAACCTAACATCAATGATATAGCTAATCTAATATTTTTTCATAGTGAAATACATTATACATTACAAAATTACAGTAGATGGACATCAACCTTGTGTCTGCAAAGTATCTTAAAAGATATTCTCAAATTAGAACTATGAGACGTAAAAGAAAAACCTCTTTATTAATTATACTAATGCATTATTAATAAATTCTTCAAGAAATTATGGATAAGGCAATACACAAACGGTTGATTTTACTATTTAATATAAACACTATAAATTCATGAACCTAAAGTTTGGTTAATAACATTTGCCTAAAAAAATCAATATTGTCACTATGTTTTGTTAACTTAACTTTTCTAGGAAGAAAAAATAGTGAATTACACTGTGTGCTGACTTCATATTGAGTTATAAAACTTAGGAGTTACTTCAACCTTTTGTGCTTAGATCTTGTCATTATAACCTATAAAAAGTTAATCTAATGTTGAAATAAAGTTACCAAAGTAATCAATCTTTGTCCTTTTTTTTTTTTTTTAACCTTCAAACACTTCTAAATTTAATTTTCTAAGGAAAAAAAAAAAAAAACCTTCTGTAAGATAAAGAAATAGAAGAAATGCAAGTAGATGTCAGATAGATCCACAAGGATGGTGAACTAGTCCCCTGCTCAATTATTCTGCCATTATGAACTGAGTGTGAACTGATGGTAATTGAAGCGAGAAAGGCACTAAAACACTTTCCAAAGCAACATCTGCAGTGAATCAGAGGAATGAAGATAAAATGACAAGGACATTTAATGACAGGATTGTTCCCTTGCCCGCCTTTCAGCTTAAAAAGGTCTGGACAAATTCCAGTTAGAAATGATCCCAGTACAATGAGTATACCATTTCTGTGTGATGTGTAACTGGGTTTCACAGAGATATTTGAAGAATGCAGTTAAGTATCTCTTTGAAATGTGGACTGCTCCCAAACTTTCCAGTGCTCATGACATTCTGGATTGAGCTCTTCTTCTTCTTCCTTCTCAGATATTTTTCCACCCACAAAAAATTCTGTTTTACTCATGCAGGAGCATTGCTGGTATTGAGTGCACAATGGTATTTGATCTTACAGAGAAGGTAAGTACATACAGGACCATCCCAGCTCCATGCCATTCCTCCCCTTGCAGCTTTCTTTACTCAGTCCTCACCTAGTCATACCCTCCCATAACACACCACAGACACTCACCTTCACCAGGCTCTTATGTCTGCTACAAATAAAGATCTCCAAAAAAGGCAGAATAACATTTGAGGGTAAGCTTTTCTAATGTCCAACATCTTAATTAGAATCCTTTTATATAAGTGTCTTCTCCCGAGTCTGTTTCACATGACTAGAATACCAGGTCATGATCAATTCATCTCTTAAAAAATAAGTTCTTAGAAAAATACTGAATTTGATTTTCCACGGTTTCCAGACCTTGGAGCTTTCTTGTAAATTCCTTCTGATGTGGGCAAAAAATCTGACAAGGTATCATCAATTACTAGAATAATATAACACCATGAAAACATCAATGGTATGGCAACACTGAAAGTGTCACCAAAGGAAGACAGTTGAAAAAATCTTTTTATCTTGAAAAGATTTTGGATTATATTTAATAAGATCTTCAAATTTAACTAAGGAAAGGAATAATTCTTTAAGAGTAAGCATAATACAATTTCACATTCAAAATATTGATTCTATACCTGTCTAAAATTTGCATTTACAATTAGGATTGGAAAACATTCATATTCCTTTGCTGATTGTAAAGAATGTGGAAGAAGCAAACTCTTTTTTTTTTTTTTTTTCAAATCTTTGGGGATGGTGTCTAGCTGCTGAAAACAGACCGTACAAGACATTAAAAAGATGAGGTGTTTGATCTGCAGTTCCAACAGTTCCAACATTGCATTGACATTTCTGCATAGGAAGGTTTTGGCTTACTATCAAAGCTGAAAACATTTATGGGTTTACAGCTTGTTTCTTTCTAACAAGTCTAAATTTCTTCTGCCCCCATAGATATATTTTATGAGAAATTTGTCTGAACTGTTCCCTTCAAAAACCTGCCCATTCACAACAATTACAGCAGAAATTTTTGATCTTCTATTGTCTGGGTTAGAAACATTGGGGATGTGAGAGCTGCTAAGTGATGTACACTCGTGGGTTCTTGCTCTGAACAGGGAGCAGGGGAGGTGGCACTGCACAAGAAACAAGTAACCATGCCACCACCACCAAACTGGTGACTCCTAGGAGCAGCTAAGACAAGCTTGGCTTTGGTGGAGAGGTAAAGGAAACTCAAAACAGCCAAAATGTGAGAAGGTAGACCCAAGGCATGTGGTACCGTCTATTACTGTGTGGTAATGTCTGCTGCTAGTGGTGTGGGGCAGTGCTAAATATGCGCCTGTCTCAATTATGCATCACCATTCCTTATCCTGGATATCAAAGAGAAAAGAGGTCCTGCCAGATGCCATGAGCAGGGAAATAGGGACAAGTGGGCAACAAGTTTCATGGGGCCTATTCATCTATGCAGGTTGAGACCCAGCAGCCTTTTCCTGAGCCAGGACGCATTCTCACATGATCTGGTAACTGTTTTCTTACTTGTTCAAACTCTTCTCTTCTCTTGTGTTTCATACTTGCATTTCTTTTTCTCCTTTGCCTTTGTTATGCTCATGTCCTGTTCTAACAGATCCCATTCTTTCTCATAACTGTATTTTATAGGTAGAAAAACAAGTTGTTTCATATCATTGATCTGAAAGAAACTTTTCAATTAAAAATACTGAAATAAAAGGTGTCAACCTATTCCCAAATTCTCTCAATCTCTTTATTTTTCCATTCAGAACAATTTGCTGAATTTGCTCAAAAATTGCAAATACTTCTGGTCTTCCCCAGAAGTCAGTAATTGCTATATTTATTGTGGTGAAAAACAAACAAACAAAAACAAACAAAAAAACACTGCTAAACTCACCCTTCACACTGATTATGCATAATATGACAGGTGTCTTTATAAAATAGAAATACATTTCACTTTCCTCAAGTACTAGTAGAAATGAAATACTGTAAGAATCTAATCTGTTCTCACTTTAGCCCGATGAATGTTCCAATGCCTTCAGAGGGCTCTGAACCAAAGCTTTGCATATTTCTGTCCTTTTGCTCCGAGTCTTCTTTCCATTGAAAAGAAAGCCAAATGGATTCCAATATGATAGACTTAGGTGTCTGGCATGTACCAAATATTTTCAGTATGTTTACTAGAGGCATTCCTTAGATGAATTTTCTTGATTTTGATCTATGTCCCACTTTAAAAAAAATATATATGTAAGAATGGTTAAAGGAGTCAAGCATGTACAACTGTAAAAACTTAATTTATGTCCTCCAGTTCATATAGAGTCATTCAGCTATATTGATATTGGGTCTTCTGAGACATTGCAGTTCTCCAGCAGTCCTATAGGATGTACATAAAGAGACAGCTGAGCCATAAGCCAGTATAAAAAAGTTAGTAGTAACTGCTAGAAACATAGGCTTCCTTAATAGTTTTGTGAGCAACTCAAAAAAAAAAAAAAAAAAAAAAAAAGAGAGAGAGAGAGAGAAGATATTACAGCAGTCAAAAGTTATGTATTAAAGTATGAAAAAAGCACATTTTTCCACATTTTTCCATATTCACATTGCCTATTTCTGCACCTGAAATTAGCTATTGTATTGATAAATGATTTTACGTGGTTGATTTCACAAAAGCGGTCTGTATATTGCTACCATCTGTGAACCAAAACTTTATAAAAGAACAATATCAGAAAAAAAAAAATTGGCATTGTAAACATTCTAAAAATGTGAGTGGGTATTCCAGGCTCTTAAACTTTTTTTACCATATTAGGTTTTCATTAGGATTTGGAGTAGGGTGAGCAGGGTGAATTTCTTAACCTTAAAAGATCAGGCAAAAGAAAAAAATATATCAAGTAAATCCCTATGAAAGCAATATCAAATCCAGCAGAAACATGTCATTTTGGTTCTTCCAAATACTTTGAAAAGAATAAAATGTGGTTTGGAAAGAAACATGGTATGCTTTGAAATTCCAGCTGAAAAACCAAGGAAGACCTATTTGTTTTCTTTTGCCTTTTCATACAGCTTTTTTTTTTTTTTTTAGTATCTGTAAAACATTTTCAGACCATTTTGTATGACAGGTTGAATACATATCGTTATTTTTGTTGCTAGGACAAATGAGATAATCGTAAATGTTTTGTCTAGAGAAAGGAAGCTGCTATCAATTTTATGTGGAATATGTAATAAAGCCATGGGCCAGCAAAGCTGGTGCATGTGGTGATGGCTGGGTAAAGATCAGCTGCTTTAAGTGGTGATTGGCAAAAGAAATAAAACCGAGATTTTACAAAGAAAAGTGGCCATTTACAAATTTCACTTGTGTCAGGGGCAGGCTTGTTGCAGCAGATATCTGAGTGTCTCTGACTTCTCACTAAGCATGACAGGCAGGAGGCACATCACTGAGCCACACTTCATTGTCAATGGTTTTGTGCTTTTAAGTCACCAATGGCTCTGCAGCCTCAGAGATAATGCTGACTTAAGGTGTGACATACAGTGCTGGAAGTAAGGGGAAAGACCCCTCATCTCCAGACATCTGGGTCATGATAAGACTGAACGAATCCCTGAGGTCAAACTTGGCCCAAAGAATTCCTCTCAACACCTGTGTCTTGAAAGGAATTTTCCATCCTTTCAGCTCTCACTTTTCTGCCAGGCAAGTACATTAAATGCAGGAACCTGATTCAATGCAATCTTTTCTTAAAGCTATGCACATCTTTCTATCTCCATAATATTTCTCAGGGTTCAGAAGAGGAGAGAGTAAAAAACACAGGGTGAGTACATGACAGTCCTTTCCCTGGGATCCCTTCCCAGCTTCTGGGCTCCAGTGCTGGGGACCTTCCCACACTAAGGTTGCATTCATGGCATTGAAGCTAATAACCACCACTAGACTCAGTTCTGATGAACTTGCAGAATTCCTTTTGAATCCTTGTGTATATTTTGCTTGCACAACATCTGACAGCAACAAATTCTGCAGTTTTATTCTGTGCCATGCAAAACAAACCAAAAAATATTATTTACCTACCAGTTTCACTCAATGCTCCTAAAAGTCATTTGAGAAAACACTAATAATTTCCTTATGTTCATGTCCTCTATACCACTTATGATTTTATGTTTATTTCTTATATTCCTCTCACTCTTCACTTTTCTAAGCAGAGAAGTGCTTTACTTAGATTCTTCTTTCCTGGAAGGGACTCCACATATATTATCATTCTTATGGCATTTTCCCGTGCCTTTTCCAGTTCTTCTACATCCTTTTGGGCAGTTAGAAGGCATCACATGTCAATATGATGGTATATTAATATTTTCTGTTTTAGCAGTTTCTTTCTTAATCTTTGCTAACACTCTGCTATTGTTTTTTTTTTTTTTTTTTTTTTTTCTTTTTTTTTCCCCCCACCATCACTGACAACTGAGCTAGTGTTTTGCAGGAAACAATCACAGTGACTTCAAGGACTTTCTATTGAGGGGCAATTTCTAATCCCATCACACATTTATCATTAAATATATTCTGTCCTGTGTGCCTTAGTTTGCATGCACTGATACTTAGTTCCACCTTCCTTTTTATTGCCATCAGCATAATGAAATCCTGAAACAACTTTTGAAATGAACATTAGATTTACCTTTACTGATTTTTTTTTCAGAAGATTTTATTATTTTATTTTTCACATAGTTTTATTCTTTAACAGTGAGTATGCTGAAGCTATTTTATGGAACAGCAAACATTCCACCACAAGAATCAACTGTTTATTGCTATCTATAATTTCCTATGTTTTATCCAGCATTTATTCAAAAAGGATGTTTCCCTCCTGTCCCAAGAAAGCTTGATTTCTTCAAGATTCCATGGTAGGGGACTGTGTCAAAAGCTTTAGGGAAACCTCAGTCCAGTGCATCAATGGGTAACCCACCTCTTCATGTTTAGTAACTCCTTCAACAAATTTGAAAAAGATTTGTGAAACATGATTCTCCTTTAGAAAATTGTTCTTTTCATCCCAGAATTTTTAAATTGAACTGTATATCTTTTTTCATTATTACTAAAAACTGAGATGAATTTAAACATCAGGCAATTGGTGGCTCTCATATTAGTATAATGTAGTCCAAGTAGTCCTGACTTTCTAGTAAACATCCCCAGTAGAAGCATTATTAAACACTTTTACTGGGTCCAAAGCACCAGGAACTGATAAAGCAACTCCCTTTCCTGTTCCATTAAAATATTTACCCCTCCAAAAGTTGAAAACATGCATTGTTTATTGTATTTATCCTCTGAGGGGAAGAACTCATGTACCTTTGCTCTGTCACCTTTCCATTCTCTTTCTCCACACTGAATTATTCCTTCATGATTCTAAGTCCTGGCTCAGGCTTTGGTATTTTACATTCTTCTCCCTTACTTTTCCATGGCTTTCTGTTTGCCATGCTATCTGTCTAAAATACTGCAAAATAAGTTATACTACAGCACCTTATTTTCTGCTGTACCCTCTATGCCAAGAGTGGCCCTCATCTCCCTCTGGGTCTTAAGAGACCCAGGTGCCTCATGAGGACAATCTTCTTTGCTAATGCAACAAGCAAGCCCAGCCTTTGCTCCTGGGAAGGTAGAAAAAGAAAAAGAAAAAGAAAAAGAAAAAAAAAAAAAAAAAAAAAAAGCAACAACAACACTTGCAGATACAAATTAGGAATCTGTCTTGGTTCGTTTAGGTGGCACCCATCCATTAGCTTTCAACCGATTGCTGCCTAATTAAATTAGTAGCTCAATGGGGCACAGATATTGCTTTTTCTTACGCTTTAAAAGTTTTGTTAAAGGGGACAAAATATGTGATGTTACCTCCAGACATCTTCCTTCTTGTTGAGAATTAAAAGAAAATTGTTTGAGTAGATTCTGATCTGTTTGAAAGAGCATGTATTAAACAGATCAAGTAATCAGATTAGTATGTGGTAGAAATGGGAAAACTAAATGATCCATCAGAAGCAATCCATCTCTAACTCTGCAGAACCCAAAAAATTCATGTCATAGTGTCTTGTTAATGACTGATTGTATTTTCCCATTTATAACTTAATTGTTTGTGCAGTGAACTCCTTGGGGGGGAAGCCTGAGCTCTGCCAGTAGGGGCAGAGGGCCTGGATGGCAATGACCCTGCTGTGTTATTCTGCATTGGCACTTTACCAGGCATTGGTTTACCTGGATAGTAGGAACTGCAGCTTCAATGCAATGGCAGTACCTAATTGAATTTCTAATGCAGTAACTTATTCAAAAAACAAACCTCAGGGAAAATGTGTATCCATCACACCTCCTTTCCTAAATGGCAACATTTACTAAACTAGTGAAAAGGGATGTAAAACAGGCTTTCCTCTAAATTTGTGATGAGTTCTTGGATACTACATTAGGAGTATTTTATCCAAATTATAGCTGTAATTAGAAAACAGACCCCAAGATAGTTTGTGATCAAAATCACACAGTGTGCACCTGCTTCAGGGAAAAACTGCTCAGCTCATATGGTTTACACCAGAG